TTTTATGGTTAACAATAAGTTGTTTATTATCTGGACAGGAGATGGCTCCACCTTACCATGATCGAGAGGCACCAGTATTTCTAACAGTAGATGGAAGTGGTCAGCATATTTTCCAAAGATGTGCTTAAACCTGACTTCTTAATTTGAGTTAGGATTTGTTGGGAAATGCTTTTAAGTTGGAAAAAGTGAGATCTTAATCTGAATGTGGAAGTACATAAATAGAGCGATGATTCTGATCTGATGTGTGTTCTCTTCCCTGAAAACTGTATCCTGGCTGAGCATTGCATGTAAGAGATTGTGTACTTAAAGCCATAGAAGTGTATAAATATCCTAATAATCTTTGTACTCTAAAAATCTTGCAGAAGTTACCAAAATAGAAGCAGAGGAGGGAAAAAGGACTTACACTACCACATCTGAAGTTGATAATTGTTGGAAATGTACTTTTTTTTCTCTTCTTTATTGTTTGCTGAAGGTTTTGTTCAATTAAGTAGCTGTGGCATTGCACATATACAGGATATTGGGCAGTACATTCTGAAGGAGAAATTCAGTTTCACACATACTGCGGTACTTACAGTAAGGATGAGGAACTGAGAAACATGGAAGCCACACAGACACTTTGGAAAATAGTACTGCAAACTGTTGATGTTTGGAAATGCAAAATTGTTGTTGTTGGAATGTTTTGGAATGGAAATTCCATGAGTTCTGTAGTACCGTACTTGTCTGTCTTCAGATATGCTGCACGTCAAGTGAAAACAGACATGATAGGTGAGCTCTGTCACTACTGAATATTACTGAATAACCAATGTTACCAGTGTTGCATAAGAAAAAAAGCTTCAGAGAACCCACTTATTTCAGTCCAATCCTAGCAATATGTTACTAAAAAGAAATAGTCCACGCTAAAATGAAAAACATTCCTGTTTAACGATCAACTAAAAAACTGCAGTCTGGATATCTGAGATCCGCAAGCTTTCTCTAGAATTTGTTTTCATGCATCTGCTTGGTATACAGGCATTTTGTAAAGTTTTTGAATACAAAGGGAGACTGACTGTTATCTTTTGCCTGATTCAAATGAGGTTTCCATCTTTCTGTCTTTCAGAAAGGTATGTGGAACTCCTCTCTTCATCCCAGTTTGTGTTCCGGAGTTTTTAATGTAGTGTTACAGATTAGACTCATCCCTGACATTTCTTTCTCCCACAGGGTACACTGTAGATCATTATCTCTGCTACAGGATGACAACAGTATGCGTTATGGAGTGAAGTGCTTATAAGGATTAGCAGAGCCTATGTGAGACATCACAAGGAAAATAAACATTTATATGAAGTGTTTGAAGTTTTTTAAATTTTTCCTCTTTAGTCTCAGTTTGGAATCCAGATCTCATTTCTGTGGCTGATGTATACTTAGATGAACAGCAATCCCAGATAGTATTCTAACTGAAATGTGATATTTGATGAATCTTTCTGTTGTTTAGCCAGGCTTATATGCTAATTTCTGATTAAATACCTCTTGCAGTTTTTGGTTTTCCCACAACTTTTCTTCTGACTTACTGACATCTCACTTTGTTTAAATTTACTAAATATATGGAATTGTAGAATATCCCAAGTTGGAAGGAACTCACAATGATCGTCAAGTCCAAATCCTGGCTTGACACAGAACTACCTAAGAAAACAAACCGTATGTCTGAGAGCATTTTCCAAAAGTTTCTTGAACTCCGTCAGGCTCATTGCTGTGGACACTGTGCTGGGGAGCCTATTCCAGTGCCTGACCACTGTCTTGGTGAAGAACCTTTCCCTAACTCCCGTCCTGACCCTTCCCTGACAGCTCCATGCAGCTCCCCCAGATCCTGTCTCTGTCACCAGAAAGCAGAGGTCAGTGCTGCCCTTCCCCTCCCCTTGTAAAGAGCTGTTGGCTATGATGAGGTTCCCACTTAGTCTCCTCTAGGCTGAACAAACTAAGGGATCTCAGCTGCTCCTCATACATCTTGCTCTCAAGACCCTCCGCCATCCTTGTATCTCTCCTTTCAACACCCCATAGTAGTTATTGAATGGTTTGGGTGGGAAGGGGCTCTGAAAATTATCTCATTGCAACCCCCTTGCTACAGGCAGGCATACCTCCCTTCAGGCCCCATATGGTGAACCAGAAGCTGCAGTGACCAAATAAAAGAACCCTAGAAACAGAATATTCAGAAACAGGAGGACATCTTCATTACATCCCCAGTTTACTGGTGTATTTTTTCTGTAAGGTCTTAAGTTTCCAAAATTATTTTGCGCAAGAGAGTTGCTTATACTGGTAAACTAAGATTGAAGTCTACTTGAAGAATTTTTCAAGACATGAGGACATTGTAGTTCAAATACCATCTTTGGCTACTAGCAGTCCAAGAAAGTAGTAGTAGGTTTTGCCTGGTCCCTGATAGTGACTAATGTTGAAAGAAAATACATACTTGTTCTCTCTTTAGGTCTGTGTTTTCTGAAGTTTCAGCAAGCTAATTTAAACAAGGCTTTAAAAATTGAAGTTGTAGGAAATTATTGGTATGAGTCAGGACTTTAAAAAGTCAAACAGAAGATGAACTTCAAAAACAAGAAGAGAATTTGAGGTTCCTAACCTTGCAAATTAAATACTAGTTTTCCTGGTTCTTCCTGTTGTAGGCATGCTAGTTCTACAGGTTAGTTCCTCAGTAACTTGTAAGAACTGAAGCAGATTAACCATCTGCAAATATGTCCTTTTAAATGGAACTGCTCTCAGACAGCAGAAGAGTGATGTGTTGCCACTTTTTACTTCTTTCAGAATTTTTTAGAAATGAATTTCTGTATTTCTGGCAGTTGAAGTTTCCTCTGGACCATGCCTTTTGCCCTTGCAGTTAAGTGTCCATCATGTCAGCTTTACATGTGCTCTAGTTTTCAAGTTCTATGTTAAGAACTACATATAGAATCTGTTCTGGAGAATAAGATTGGTCCATTTTCTTCCATTCTTTCAGGTACTCTCAATCAAGCTGTTACTTACTCTATTTTTATTTATCTATCTATCGGGACTGTCTCTTTGTTCCCCAGGGTACTCGTTTGCAGAAATAAATCAATGATTGTGGTGTCTTTTAACAAGCAGAAAGTTATTTTCTTGCTTCATTCGAAGGCAGAATGAGATGAAGGCAGAGAACAGAGTTCTCAGAAAATCTGACATTAGTGGTCAAATGAGCTTATGAATTAGTAATTAAAACCTTGCAGTCACTTTTTTCATTTTTTTTATTCTAGTGTTCAGTATAAAAATAGGTGCTTGTACAAGCTAGCCAAAGATGGAAGGTAATTTTTGCACTCGAGTCTATATTGCGAAATGCTCCTGTTGAAGTTCTTAGGTTTTTTTTAGCTGTTGTAGTTCTAAATGCATAACTTGTGATAAGTACCTTCTTCACCTTTCACTTTACTCTTCCAATCAAGCTTAAATAAAGCTCTATTAAAGCTGACTACTACTACTACAAAGAAAAAAAAAAAAAAAAAACAAACCATGAAATCCATCTTAACATTTTTTGTTCGTGGACTACTTTTACTAGGCTGGCAGGGCAGTATTTGTTTGTAAAACCATCCTTTTGGAAGCTGTTGATCTGTTGAAGGATGCTAAGGAGGTCGTTACAAAATGATCCAGGTGATAGTTTGTTAATTTTGCATTAAAGCTGATGTTTGGAAGGAATAAGACTTTAAGACTAAATCAGTACTTAAAATTTTGAGGATAGTCTTAGAAATATGGAAGTATAGGAGGAGAGTCTGTGCAGGATTTTTTTCTTTGATTATGTTAAACATAAGACTTCTGAGAAAGAGTTCAGGCCTTCTGACATATCTTACTGTGGAGTAGGTTTGGTAAGCTCTATGCTTTTTCTGCTTTTCTCTTTGGTATGCTTCTGACAAACATCTGTATTGAAAATTTTTCCTTTTTTTGTTTGCGTATGTGAGAGAGAGATTATACAAACGAGCATTACATTTATTGTCAAGAACCTTTGTTCTAACATCTGTTAAAATTTCTTCTCTTAAATGCTTGCAACCAAGATGCAGTCTCACTGATTTTACATTTCCAAAATCAAGAATTTTGATTGTATTTATGCAAACTGAAATGCGCTTATGTTAAAAAAAACCCTGTTGCTATCCCAAAAAACTAAGTAAGGAAGTAGCCTGTCTTTTTAACATCTTGTGGCCAATCCAGATTTTAGAACAGATTTCTAGCATAGTCATTGGCATTCTTTAAATGTTGGAAGAATGGACAGTCAAATACAGACAATCCCATGTTGCTTAAACTGTGCTTGCATATACAGATACTCTGTTCTGTAATGCATTGTGACTGATTTGATTAGTCAGGATATTCGTTAAAATATTGTACACTTCCTGACATTTTTCTAGACAAAACCAGCAGAACAGTTAGAAGTCAATACAAATACTGTTTTAGCTCTTTGAAACAGTGTTCTTAAAGTTCTTTGGCATAGTGAATCTCATTGATTTAGGCCTGCTAAGCAGTGTATTCTTGGCATTTTAATTGGAAATTACATGCTAAAAGCAGTATGTATTTATGGAATTCTCAGTCTTCTCAATACTTTGTAATCTCATTACTAAATTTATAGATACTCTATTGTTATTTCATTGTTTTCTGGAAAATGTAGGCTGGATTTGTGTTGCCTCAGGTTACAACCTTGGTAAAAGCAAATACTATGGTAATCAATAGAAAATTTGAGCTCAGTCTTTTCACTTTTTGATTCCAGCCACAGTTTTTTTAGTTCTAAAACAATGCAGTGATAACATAATGCTAAATCAATTTACTTAACAGAATAGAAAATCATGTAATATTTTAGCTCTGCAAAAATTATTTTGATATGTGTTTCTTAGATCATTTCTTGGATAATCATAGTTTCCTGTGCAAGTCAGATATACTGGAGTGGTATACAGAATCCTGAAATACTGAGTTATAAGAATCTGTGTGTTATGTTTACGATCTGTCTGAACTTAAATTTCTTCAAAATGTACTTCTAGGCAGCAACAGACAGAATAAAGCAATTGGAAGAAAGCGTTGAAGAGGAAAGAGCAGCACATTTGAAATCTAAATTCAGTTTGGAAATCACCCAGGTAAACTTTTTGTTAAATATTTTGTGGAGCTTTATATCAAACGTGTTCCTGAAGTTATAAAGTTGCAGTCTTCTAGATGCTTCAGTAAGAACACTGGATTTTTTTTTTTTCCATTTAAATTTCAAGACTGTAATACATAAAGGAAAGATCAGAAAAATACCTGTTTCTCAGGGAATATTCTTTTCAATTTTTTAAAAATATTAATAATTTATTCAGATTTGTAAGAATAAGAGTGTAACTTCTCCTAGTATTTATATAGTGTAGGAAAAAGAAATATTTAATTAGAGCTACAAGCCAAGGTACCATATAAATATCCTATGTCTTTTGACTAGAAATTTACTGGGACTATTTGGATATGCAGTATATGCATCTGACTTCTATAGGAATGAGTACTGAATAAATGCACACTGAAACTGCTGTTTCAAATATTGTTCAAAGTAGATTTCACCTTCAAACAACATTACAGTATCAGCAACTACCAGTAAAGGTTAATTATATGAGAAAACGTAATATGTATACTTGAATATTAAATCTTTGCATTTTTAGTAATGGATATCTATATGACTGAGAAGAGCTGTGAAATACTGGCATTTTAGGAAGCAGTAGGGAAAGATCTCAGATTTGTCCCAGAGGAGCTTGAGACAGCTCTTTGAAGAAGGTAGCAAGGCTGGTAGACCAGCTGAAGTTTCTCAACACCAATGCATGCAGCATGAGCATAAGCTGAAGGAGTTGGAAACCATAGTGCAGTTAGAACAATATGACTTACCATCACATTTTCATGATAGCAGTTAATAATTGCACAACTGGAGCAAGACAATTAAGATCTGCAATCTGTTCAAAAGAGATGGGCAGGGAAGGATGGGTAGGGGTGTTGCCTCTGAAAAATAGTCATAATCAGGTTGAAAGCTTGGGAGTAGAAAAAATAAAAAAAAAGTCAGGGATCAGACCAATAAACACCTTGTGGTTGCAGTTTACTGCAGGCCGCTGTAAGCAAAGTCTGCAAGTCTGAAACAACCTATTGAATGTGAATGTGTATAAGTCTATGGAACCTTACAACACTGTGTATTCAATGAATATATGGGTGCTATAATTAAGAAATATACAGGAAAGTTAGGTTAAACAGATTATCACGCTAAAGAAGAACAGATGCAAAGCTTACCCTTGTCCTGAGATCACTAAGAAGACTCTAAGAGGAGTAGTCTCCAAGTGAGATCCTTCCCCAGTGCTAGTCAGTTCTTAAATGGGGTCTAGGAAAGGTGGAGCCAGGCTCCCCCCCCTTCCAGTAGCACAGGAGAATTGTCTTCACCTGTGCTCCCAGAGCTGACTCATTGCTCACCTCAGGTTGTCAGTCAGAGGTTCAGGTTGTGATTCAGCAGTTCCCATATGGACACACATCTCAGTTCCTGAAAGAGCTATCTTACGTGGTTGCAAAGCAAGTCTTCACTATATTTGAGAAGTCACGGCTGTCAGGTGAAGTCCCCAAAGAGAATTGGGAAATGAAGACCTGGGGAATCCAAGGCCGATCACTTCTATGCCTGGGGTGGTTGTAAAACAGATTCTCCTAGAAGCTATGTTAAGGCACGTGAAAGATGAGATGATCTGAGGCACCAGCAAAGCTTCACCAAGCACCTTCCCAACTAGGTGACTTTCTGCAGTGAAGTAATGGTGTTGATGGACACAGGAAGGGGAACTGATTCCATCTCCCTGGATTTGTGCAAGGCTTTTGATGTGGTCCCATACCACAGTCTTTTCTCTAAATTGGAGAAATAAGGATTTGAAAGGTCGATTATTCAGTGGATAAATAATTGATTGGATTGTTGTAGCCAGAGGGTTGTGGTCAATGGCTGTTGACCACAGGTGGGGCTGTTGGAGTGCGTCCAAAGAAGGGCCACAAAGATGATCTGAGGGCTGGACCACTACACCTTGTTCAGTCTGAAGGTAAGGTCGTGGGCAACCTGATCTTGTGGGAGCTGTCCTTGCCCATGGCAGGTGATATTCAAGGTTCTTTCCAACCCAAGCTGTTTTATGAGTCTATGATCACATAATGTTTGACCAAATGAGGCAATTACAGCTTACTTTAGAAGGCAAGCAAAAAAAAACAAAACAAAAAAACCCACTACTTTAATATTCTTATAATACAAGACTTTACAATGTAAATTTTACAAACTTAGTCAGTAAAATTTGTATTCTTCCTTTCTATTTCCTGAGCAACAAAAATAAATGATGCTGTTTTTGAGTTAGTTTTTTTCCTTATTTTAATGATCTTCTTTGTGAAAGTGCTCTTATTTATTTATTTATTTATTTAAGGGTATCATTAAGGTAGTAGAAAGTAGAGATTTGCTTTTCTTCGTTTTCTTCGTCTACTTCATCATATTCAGTGGAACTGAGAGGGCAGTTCCGTAAAATTAGAGACTTTTATAAATAAGCAGCTGGTACAGTTTTCTTCTTTTTTTGAATATGTGGACTTTTCAAGTATGGTTTCCTCTTAGCAAAAGTAATAGTTGTAGTCTTTGCAACCATGTATCAAACTTAAACAATAGAATTCCCCTGAAAAACTGTGCCTAAAACCTAAAAGATGAAAAAGTCGTACACCCCTAAGAACATTAAAAGGCATTTTTTTCAACTTACTGTTTATCTCTGAACTATTTATACATTTCTGCATATATTCAATGCTTTTTCTCAAAATGCAGTAAGACAGATTTAATGGAATATAATTGTCCTTAAAGCAGAAAATGGAACAGCATTAAATACCATGATACTTTTTTCTAACTTGCTTTCATTGTTTTCTGATCACTTGGTAGATGAGAATTCGAGAACTTGAAGGAGCTTTACAAATGGAAAAAGTCAGCCAGGCAGAAGCTCTTTCAGACTTAGAGATGATCAGGAAGGAATTCAAAGAGGTAGAAAATGCATATGAGAGAGAAAAACAGAAAGCCCAAGAGAACTTGGAAAAAGTCAATAGGTAAGTTATCTTTTATATCCACTGAAAATTGGCTGTAGGAAGCTGGAATAGCACTAACAGTTCTGTAGTTTCCTATCAGTAGAAAACAGTACCATCCTACACTCCTTGTCAAACCTAAAAAAGGCTTCAAACCTGGTGTTCCGTTAATAACAGGTCCATACTCGTAAGCATACATGTTAGGGGAAGGTGGAGGTTATTATGTAGGTTATTTGTCTAAGCAAAATACTGAAAATGATAGTTATGATAGGGTCTTGTAGCACTTGGGAGAAGTGTAGAAAAACATACACAGTGGGTTTAAAAGTATTTTTTTCTTTATACAAATACAATGTTATGATGAGAAGTTGTCATGGAAGTAGGTGGATCTTCAAGATTTCTATCTAGGAATTGTTTATTATTTCTGCTAAATAATCTTCATTTTCTGCTTTTGAATAAACCTGGAAAGTTTTGACTTGGTAAGAATAGGACAGGAAAAGGTGTAAAGTAGACAAAATTAACTGGAATTCCTTTCCCGCTTGGTACATTCTGCTTTGTCTGTGGTAACAGATGGTTCTTGGAAGAATGGCTGTGTTATACTTACCATGCAGATAGAAGGATGCACAGTACTGTATCTTCTTCCTTGGCTGAATCAAGTATATCTTGGGATAAGAAAACATAAGAAGAATGGTGTTGTAAAACAGGTAGCTAAGCAGTAAGTAAAATAAAGGATAGATTTAGAGAAGGAAGAGGTTTGGAAGAACTTAAGTTGATGGATTACCGTGGTGTTCTGGGTAGAGAATTCTGTGGACTTTAGAGCACTGAATTCGGCCTTTCTTATATACGTGGTTTCGGAGATGTTTTTAGTAACATATTTGAAACATCTGCTGTGTTATTAACACAATGGAACTCTTCACCAAAGTTAGGTCAAAAGAAGTCTGAAAGTGAGATTGTGCATTTAGGTAAACAAAAGCCATATTAAAAAAAAAAAGAAAAAAGAAAAAGAAAAAACCCAAACTTTTTCTTCAAAGAAAAGAAAATAATTTTCATGTAAAAATGGTGAGAATGCATGAAATACATTATGATAGTAATCCAGTGTCATTATTCAGGAATATTGCAGTTTAAACAGCTGGGAAGCTGGCAGGGTATATTTTGAGATTTTTAATTAACTGTAAGCTTGTCCTGCCTTATTGTTTTGCTCTAAACATGCATTCTATGTTAGCAGTGTATTTGGCATTAAGGTAATACCAAGTTCTTTGCATTTTCTTGAAGTGAAGAAGGCCTGTGCCAGTAATATGACTTTTTAAAAATAAATTTTAAAAATCTACTTCATATTCAAAGCAGCTTTGTTTGAAGTCTGTTGGATCAGGAGCTGTTTTGATCCAACTTCTGACCTGCAATGCATGTGTTCATCATGTATGTAAATTCTAATTTCTTGTCTTGCGCGGAATTTTTTTCCCCCACTAGGTTTCCATGTTCAGTTGGTGAAGAAAATACAGAAAATTCATGTTTTTGGAGATGAATTCACAGATAAAATCTTTTCCTTCCCTGCTAATTCCTGGACAGTTTCTTCCTTCCAAAGTCCAGTTCTCGGCCCCTCAGATGAAGGACAGGAAACTGCTTGAGAGAGTCCAGCGCAGTGCCACAAAGATGATTAAAGGAGACGAGGAGAGGCTGAGGAAGCTGGGTCTCTTTAGCTTGTTCTCATTAATATTTGTAAATATGGAAAGAGTGAGTGTCGTGAAGGGGATACCACTCTTCTCAATGACATCCAATGACAGGACAAGGGGCAGTAGGTGCAAGTTGGAACATGGGAGGCTCCACATAATATGAGAAACAGCTTCTTCACAATAAGGATAACAGAACACTGGAGCAGACTGCACAGAGAGACTGTGGGGTCTCCTTCTCTGGAGATATTCAAAACCCACCTGAATGCATTCCTGTGTCTCATCTAAGCGTTCCTGCTCTGGCAAGGGGATTGGACTAGATGATCTTCGGAGGTGCCTTCCAATCCCTGACATTCTGTGGTTCTGTGTGATTCCGAAGCTGACTATTCCAAGGTCCATCCCTGTATTTGAGGCTAGACCAGCTAAAATCAGCATCATCAAATGAAATACGGGGCTTTGAGTTTTCTTAGCTAATGTCTATTAAGCTGAAGTCATTTTCAGTCTAGAAAATCTTTTCCTGTTTTCAGTATGGCCACATACCATAACTTTCTGTAATCAGTCAAGGAGCCATTAGCCTTCCAGCAGTCTTTAGGTACAATTTATCATTCCTCCTAGAAATATCAGGAATTACTCCTCTACTGTTTCTATCCAAGCTCAAAAACTTGCCTTTGTACTATATGAGCAGCTCATGTCTGCATGAGAAAATACTAACCTCTCTGTGAAAGTTGGTAGTTTTAATAAAGGCTTAAGAAACAGAAACTGCCTATTCTTAGAGTACTGTCTCTCTGAACTCTTAGTCTGTAAAGGTAGGTCAAAATTTACCTCAATTGGACTATCAGTATGCTCAGTTCCTTTTAGATACTTGCATGTAATGGGCATGAATGTCTCTTCAGTCTACCCTGCTTTTTTTATGTGTTGAAGCATACAATTATCAGTTATACTGGTGAGTATCAGTGATTACTTTCACTGGATCCCTTCAGATTGAATAGAAGAACCTTTGATCTACTTACCTTTGAAGGGTGTGGTCCTTGAATTTAAGATGAAGAGCTTTTCATTTTCTTTTAAGCCACGATTTGGCATCCTAACATATTTTTGCTTTGCCTGGAGGGGTCCTCCAGGATTGTCTTTCAGTCTTTGGAAATTGTTCGGGACTTTCATTTATTGTGCTAGAATACTTGTATGTCTTTTTAGCTGGATTTGATGTGGGATAAGTGGAAGCTATACAAAGCTGTGAGAACTGATTTTCTGAGAAAAAGATCAGTGCTGATTCCAAGCATACAGACTTTTCTGGGTTGCATAATTTATTAATTAGCTCTGAACCCAGTAGCACTATGTAAATTGTAAGTAAGAAGAGATCTGGTTCTTCATGTTAATTTACTTTTCTTGAAGAGTGAGGACATGATGTAGAATAAATTGGAACTTCTCGTACTGTGCTTCTGAAAGCTATAAGAATAGGAGTGACATTCGATAACTGAAAGGCAAATTCTTTAGGAATAAGAAGTAAACATCTACATCTAAGAGAAAAAGAATATGTCAGCTGGGCTGGAGCAGAAAGACATAGGCATTAGGAGGAATGATAAAGTATTCCTTCAGCTAAACGGTATGTTTTGTCTTTATATGTGGGTTAAATCTGTAAGACTTATTTAATTCAAAGCCAGGAAGTGACAATATTGATTTAAAAACTGGGAAAAATTAGAGCCCTTTGGGTTACTAGCAGTTCTAATGAAAGAATAATGAAAAGAGAAAATAAAATGAAGACAGACACTGGATGTTGCCACTGTTAAAAATGATGCCATAGAATAATTTAAGCTGGAAGGTATTGTAGAAGATCTTTAATTCAACATTCTACTTGTGCCTGAGTCAGCTTTGAGATCAGATTACTCAGGCCTTTGTCCAGTAGATCTTCAGGATCCCCAAGAATGATGACTGCACAAGCTTTCTGGGAGCCTGATCTTCTTATTGACTGTCATGGTGGAAGAAAGCTTCTCATAGTCTGAATCTTTCCCGATTCAGTTTGTGACCGTTCTCTCTTGTCCTATACTTTGTTGTGAAGAGGCTGGCTCAGTCTCCTTGGTGACCTGAAGGTACTGCGGGGTCTGTTACTCACCCTTCTCCAAGCTGAACATACCAAGTTTCCTAACATCATATGGCCTGTACTCCAGCCCCTGACCATTCTGGTGATATTCTCATGAGCTCACTCTAGTTTTGTTGTTATTAGTATTGTACTAAAATGTCATGCTAATAATTTATACAATCATAGAATCATTAAGGTTGGAAGAGACCTCTAAGATCATCAGGTCCATCCTTCAACTCATCAGTATCATGTCCGCTAAGCCATGTCCCCACCTCTACACGTTTCTTGAATATCTAGAGGGATGATGACTGCACCACTTCCCTGAGCAGCCTGTTTCCATACCTCACCACTGTTTCTGAGAATAATTTTTTTCTAATATTCAACCTGAACCTCCCTTGGCATAATCTGAGGCCACTGTCTCTCATCCTCCCACTAGTTGTGTCAGAGAAGGAACCAACCTCATGTTGTTACAACATCCTTTCAAGTAATTGTAGAAAGTGATAATGTCTCACCTGAGCCTCACCTTCTCCAGTTCCCTCAGCTGCTTCTCGTAAGTCTTGTGTTCCAGACCCTTTACCACCTTTGTTACTATTCTTCAGAAACTCTTTGGGCCTCAGTGTTCTTGTAGTGTGGGCCCCAAACTGAACGCTGTACTTAAGGGGCAGCCTCATCAGTACAGGTGCAAGGGGACACAATCACTTCCCTAATCTTGCTGGCTACACTGTTTTTGATACAAGCCAGGATACCATTGGCCTCTTTGGCCACTTGAGCATGCTGTTGGCTCATGTTCAGCAGCCGATCAACTAACATCCCCAGATCCTTTTCCTGCATATAGATTGCCAGCTTCTCTGCCTCATGTCTCTAGCATTTTGTAGATTTGTTGTGACCAAAGTGTAGGACCCAGCACTTGGTCTTGTTGACTGTTATGCAACGTGGCTTCATCCAGTTGTCTGGGAGCTTCCCACCTGACCAAGACTGTTGATAAATAATGGAAAGTGGCTTGGTGAGCATTTCTGCTAGCTTATGTAGGTCCAGTCTGGGTCCATGGACATGTGATAGTGTAGATGGTAGCTGTTCTCTCCTGAAATGTAATGTGTTTATTCTGTTCCCCATCTCTGTCTTCAAGCTCAGAGAACTCAGTACCCTATTGACTATTAAAGATAGAAGCAAAGACAGCATTGAGTACTCAGCCTTCTCCTTGTCCTTGGTAGTAATGCTCCCCGTTGCATCCAATAAAGGATGTATATTTTCCTGGGCTCCTTTTAGTTGTTTATGTATTTGTAAAAACAATTCTATTCACTTCAATAATTAACTTCAAAAAAATCTCCCCCCCAAATAAAACTAAAAAACTTGAAACCAAAATCAGCTAGAAAATGAGGGAGTCTGATGAAGTCAAGAATGGTGATCAGATTAAGTTTTTGCTGGGTTCCTGCCTTTCTAATTTTCCCTCTGCAACTTCAAGGAATTTCCTTTCCTTGAATTTCCTTTCCTTTCGAAGGTGGTAAGCTCTCTTTTTTTCCCCTGAGTTTCAGCAAAAGCTCTTCTCTGGTCCTCTTCTCTGTTGCTTGTCTTAAGGTACACCAGAGATGGTCTGCTCCTGCACCTTTAAGACTTCTTTCCTGAGAAATGTCCAGCCTTCATGGGCACTTTGTCCTTCAGAACTGTATCCTATGGGACTCTGCCTACTAATGTCCTAAAAACTCCAAGATCCACCCTCTGGAAGTCTGGAAGATAGCAGTTTTTCTGATGCCCCTCCTGACTTCATCAAGAACTTTATCATTTTGTGGTTACTATGTCAGAGGCAGCTTCAGACCACCGTGTCTCCCATCAGTCCTTCTCTGTAAATAGCAGATCTAGCAGAGCACCTTCCTAGCTGTCCTACCAGATGTGTTAGGAAGCTATCTTCCACACACTTCAGGAATCTCCTAGGTTTTCTCTTTTCTGTGCTGTTGTATTTCCAGCAAGTATCTGGCAAGCTGAAGTTTTCTATGAGAACAAGGGCTAATGACTGTGTTATTTCCACTGGCAGCTTGTAGAATGCTTAATTTGCCATTTCATTCTGGTTGGATGGTCTGCAACAAACTCTCCCCAGGATATCAACCTTTTTGGCTTTCCTCTGATCCTTACCCATAGGGCCTTGACTGTATCTTTACCAACATTGACTTTACAACGTCAAAATGTTTCATAACATACAAAGTCACCCCGCTGCCTCTTGTTCCTTTCTTATCCATTCTGAAGAGCTTATAGCCACTGCAACATTCCGGTCATAAAAGTGATCCCACCATGTTTCAGTTATCTGTGGCTAACTTGTTGTCTACCTGGTTCTTTTTGAGTAGAGCTGCTCTCCAGCTGGTCACCAGCTGTACTGCTTCGAAGGGGCTCTTCCTTCCTAAACCCTGGACTTTGCATTTGTCAGTGTTGTATTTCAGAAGCTTCATGCTAGGGTGTACCTCATGTCTGTGTATGTTCTTTGCTTGAGCATATAAATTTTGTTGTGTTGTGACCTCTTTCCATCCAATTGCACTCTTGTCCTAATCCATGTGATTGATAAAGATGTCAATCAGATTCTAGTATAGAATTCTGTAGTATCCTACAGTAGTTACCCCCAACTACCATCTGAACTTTACTATCTAGCCTTTTTTTTTTTTTTTTTTTTTTTTTAAATCTACATGTTAGTCCATGTATCAAGACAGTGAAGTTCTAATTTGCCTGTAACAGTGCTGTGTAACAGTGTCAGAAGCTTTGCTGAAGCTGAATTACATGTTATTCACTGCTTTCCTTTTGTCCACAAATCTTGTTGTTCTATTACAGGTAACTGTGTGGTTCAGACATGATTTAATCTTAATAAATCCTCTGATTTTTTCCCCAGTCATCTGTCTGACTTTCATGAGCCCAGAAGCTTGTTCTAAGAGTAATTGCTCTCTGATCTTCCTGAGACAAGGCTAACTGGTCTGTAATCCAATGGTTTGTTCTTTTGTCCTTCTTTGCTATAGGTGTGCCAGGGACCTCTCTGATCTCAGTATTTCAGAGATGACAGCAAGAAGCCTTTCTGTGATGGTCTAGCTCTGTCAGCCCCTTTGAATGTAGATAAGCCTATCTCTTCTGTTTCTGTGGGTTCTGTCTTCATAAGTAATTGCTCATTCAATTCTTGTTTGCATTTAGCCGTTCTCTTTCTTAATGACAGAGGCTTAGGAAACCTTGTTGGTGAAGTCTGAGGCAAAGAAGGCATTGAGCGTGTTGATGAATTACCTGACCTGTACAGAAAACAGGCCCACGTTTGTTTTTCCTACCACAGCATGGTGGTAAAATCTCTTCTTGTTTTGGTCATCCTTTACAAACATCAAATCAAAGTGCGTTCTGACTTCTCTGACACAATACAGATGTGTCTGGCAATCTTTCTAAATTCCTCCCAGGATTTGACTTGTCACTTCTGTCTCCTGCGAACTGTTTAGTCCTGCAACTTTCATGAGTTGTTTAGCCAACCAGTCTCTATATATGTTAGTTTCCTGGATATCATGAGAGAGAGAGAGTTCTGGTAGGTTCCTTGAAGCTCCGAGAGTCTGCTGGTGGAAAACTCTAAAGGCATGCCATTGCGAGTAGAATATGGTCAGCTATTAGGAAATATTAGAAGGAAGCTTTGTATTTGAAAACAGAGTTGATTACGTAAGAATTGACATGGTATTTCTGAAGAGAGCTGCTGTGTTAATTAAAATTTAATGAATTCTGTTTATTGCATATAATTTGAAGGGCATATTAAAATAACTGAATAAATTTATGACTAGTAAAAGCATCAGTAACTGGAAAACATACCACTTAGTGAAAAAGTTCTTCTTGAAAGGAAAACAACTTTTTTCCATTGAAAAATATAATATGCAACTTCAGAAGTCCTACAGTGTGTAAACATCAGATGTGTCACATCTATTGGTTATGTTTTAAAGTATATAGTATAGCTGTCAAAAGTATTTTTGATTAATAAATGAATAAATGTTTTAATGCTGAAACTTTCCAGATTAGAAAGGGAGTATATCTCCACAAACAAGCAAATGAATGAGAAGATTGAGGAAAAGAAGGAGGTAATTAAAGATCTGTTGGAGAGACTACGGGAGAATGAAAAATCTCACAGAGAACTACAAGATAAACTTGCAATGGTAAGACAGAACACCAGTGATGCTTCTTAGGGCTTTTTTGACATATTATGTACATAAGATGCATTTGTGGAAGAACTCAATCATTGCGTTACTCTAGTCTTACTTGTTGCTTTTTCTGGTAAAATGTTAATATGTGTAGCTAATACACTGCAGAATCTAATTTGGAAATGTACTTCCTGTATTTAATTGAAGAGGTTTTTGGTTTTTTTTTTTGTTTTTTGTTTTTTGTTTTCCAGAAAACAACTACTTTGAAAGTGTGCCTATAAGGCAAAGAGTAACTTGTGTTTACATTTTTAGAGAGGGCAACAATTTTTAGAAATGGATTATGATTCATTGCAGAGAATGTTATATCTTTCTAGCATGCCCTTTTCAGTCTACAGTCCTTGTTAGCTGCCACTGTAAGCATATTTATTTCACACAACATATTGTTTTTTTCTGCAAACATTTGGCTTTAATAAATAACTAGTTTGAATGTGACAATGCAGAGGATATTTAGATGTATTTTACTGAATTGTTTTCTGGAATCTTTGTTTTTTCTCTTTTTTTTTTTTTTTTTTTTTTTCCATGACAAACTGGAACCTTCCCTCTGCTCACCTACAATTGAATAATGACTTTCCCGTTCTTTTGCATAGCAGTAGGGATAAAGCAAATATCTTAGGCATTCTGTGTAAAATCTTGAGCTATGTAGAAGCATTTTCAGTATTTCTGTACTTCATAAATATAAACTGTGTTTTAGTACTGGACTGCAAATTTCTCGTTTTTTCATCTCCTGGAGCTGAGTTTGGAAGGTAAAAGTAGTCGATTCCCCCTTGGTGGTAGATACTGTTATGCCAGTGAAAAGGAGCAGAGGTCTGCTTCAGAGGATCTGTAGACACGTTGCTATCTCCTGTTCAGATAATATGAAAAGTGAAGATGTTTTAATGGGTGATGTGTTTGCAGTCTGTAAATGAAAACATGGTGAACAAGTACACTTGATAATTGCAATTTCCTGGGCGATGGGTAGCCAAATAAGTGAAAATTGGAAATTAGATAGCATTGAATTGGAAAAGAAGCTTGTAATTGCCTTTTGTGGTAAAAATTGCTGAAGGGTTGTGGATTCTCCATCACGAATGGTGAATCAATATTGTGTGTGATTTCTGTAAAATTCATATACTTTAGTTCAGACAAGAATTAGTCCATGGAGGTCTATAGCCTACGTTTATAAATAAAATCTGATTAAGTACTTAGGATCAACTTATTCTGTCCTCTGGCAGAGTATGATCCCTCTGTGTTCTGTAATACAGCAAAGATAAATTAAAAATTGCTCTGATATGTTGTGCCCAGGTATTTAGATTTCTTGTATGTCAGTCCTTCTCCAGCTCTTCTCAATGTTTTGGTGCATTTGGTCTCCTCATTCAAACTTACACTGGTTGGCCATTTTTACAGTAACTACAAAATTAGAGTGTATGAATGGCAAAGCATTCACTTATTCAGTGATTTTACATTTTGCCGTATAGCTAATTACTGGCTTCACATGATATCAAACGGTTCTTCCTTTTTAGTTGGAGTTATTCCATTGTTCTGATACCCAGTTCTTGAACAGTTTCATAACATATGTTTGAAAACCAAATGAAAAACAAAGCCTTCTTCATTTTGGGAAAATCTCAGCAGCTTCTTTCATACAAGCAGTAATATAGTAAGAAACAGTTGCTGGCCTAGAGAAATCATATCGCCTGGCACAAAAGCAATATGAAAATAGAAAAGCAAGTAAATCCGCTAACTACTATCACTAATGACTGGTATGTATTCATATACATAAAACACAAATTCAGTATGACATATTTCTACCAGGAACCTTTTGACACTTGCTAGCAACCATTGTGATACAAGCTTTTGTTTTGTGCCATTATGAATATGATTCATAATGACATGAATTATATTACATATATTGGAATCATATGATTCCAATATGATGCTATATCTGACAAAAAAAAAAAAAAAGAGCAAATTCTGTGCCTGGTCTAAGTTTCTGGTAATGACTGAAGTGTTTAAATAATGCTTTTGAAATGAACATTACATTATAGAAAGATAAAAAGCAGAATAATGTGTCTCAATTAAGCAAGTATCTTGTGCAAAGAACTAGTCGTTTGAGATGTTACACTGGAATTATTTCAAACCAGAAGTCTATCTTGAGCAGGTAATAAAAATAATCATAATTTTTGTGGAGTTGTATTTGAGATACCCTATGGGGCTAGGTTTTTATCACCTTGGATGACTTTGTATTTTTCCTGAGACTAGGTATTTTTTTGGGAAGCAGGAGTGGCTGTGTGTGGTTGTGTTTATTCAGTCTGGACAGCTTTTTTTTTGTAATTATTTTTAAAAATTTTTGTATTTTTCCCAAAATAAAAAAGCAGAACACTCTGGCAAAAGGTAAGTATATATAGCTTGTCAAGTAGTGTTATCGGGCACATACTGAAATTGTGTGAAAATGCCAGTCTGTTCTCTTTCTTCATTTTCCTTTCTGCTTCCTTGATCTATTTATTACTTTCCTGTATTTTATACTACTGTTAGACAACCTGAATATGGACATTCCACTTCAGGCTCGTAATCTTATATTGGTTTCTAACTGTACTGCCATAATGCAAGTTAATATTTTTGTTTGTAAAATGTCTTGGGAAATATAACCAATTAGTGAAGGCTGTTTGTTTTTGGAGAAGTAAAGTTGCACGTGAATCAAATACATTATTTGGAAACTTTTTATTTCAAAAAAGAACTTTCTTTTAATGACTCAGTTGAATGTATAGTAAAGTAGTTACACTGCTTTTAATTTTAGATATCAGCATGTGATAGAAGTTTACCAGATATTTGCATGGATTAAATGTGGTAGAATCTGCTGGTATCAAACAAAACTGCTTATGAATGTTCAGCATGAGGAAGCTCTCAAGATTTCCATTGTGTTCTTACTGAGGAAATTGGTCTCAAGCTTGTCATTATTTCCAGCTTGGGCTTTCAGAAATTTTAGCTTGAGGAACAGGAATTTGGAAGAATGGGCATTGTGATTCAGAGCTGGTTTTAAATTGAAACAGTCCCAGCTGTAATCCTGCGCCATTGAAAGACTAAGTGGTGTCTTGAATAGGTTTTAATTTTACTTGAGGTATTTACATTTCTGGCACCTAGTAGTGGATGAATATTAATACTTTTTACCAGACAAGAGGGAGATGTTGAACCATTATTTTATGTGAAATGTATATTGAAATTTGAGGAACTTGGCAATTCACAGGAGTGCATATTGGGAATTTGCAGTCATGAAGAATAGTGTTTTTTTCGGGTAAACTTCCTTAATCTGGACGTATTGTGTATTCATTTACTCCCCTTTGTATAGATACTGTCAGGAGTAGAATAATTATATAATTAGCGTATAAGTAAGGTAATAGATTACGTACAGAGGTTTTTTTGCCTTGCAGCATATAAATCTTTCAGTTGTGTGCAATCATGTGATGTATATATTTAGGCCATCTGTAGTAGTCTTGTAAGCTATTATGAGCTGAAAGTCAGGGCAGGATTGTTAGAGAATCTATTTCATATACATAGGCAGTAGCAATTATTCTTTGATAGTAGCTTTCTATGTATTGATTGAATAGAGCAAAAATTTGTACTACAAATTCTATGGAGTAGACTCTGCTACTCAAAGGCAGAGGTGGAATTTCATCTAGATAATTAACTGTGAATAGAGTTTTTTGTTGCAAGTTTAAAAAAAAAACAAAAAACAAAAAGCTCAAAACAAAACCTAAAACCCAAAGAGTGTTAGTGATTTTTTAATGTTATATTGCCTTATTTTTACTGTTGCGTTACCTTGTTTTATATTCTTGTTTTGCTTGCCGGAACTCAGCGCAAGAGTGTTCCTACTTCTGTTGTCCTTATTTAAATAAATGTTTAATAAATCATATTGATGTCCCAATGTTTGAAGATAAATGCCTAAGGAGTACTTTTAAAGTTGTTAATTCTTGAGAAATTTTGTCTGATTTAAACAACCAAAAAATTGTCTCCAACCAAAACTTGTTGCAGAGTTCTTTGTAGGAAACTAAAACAATTTAAGTTTAAAATTTGAACATTTTTGATTATTTTTATTTCAAGTTATTCAATCTGAGACACTGTATTTCTTGAAAAATTGGATTTAATTTACTAGGCACATCTTAAAGGCTCCTCTGTAGACTTTCAAAAACTCTAGCTAACATAAGAAAACAAAGGAAATTGATGAAGTATTTTATAGCTAGATAACTTGATGAAAAATTAGCAAAAAAGAGGAAGATAGATATTGGGGATTATTTTAATACTGTAGGTCATGCCTGATTACTTAACTGTGCTGCAATACAGACTATCACTTGAGTAAAACTAAGTTTTGTTAAGACTTTTTGGAACAGTCTTTTGGAGCTATTTCTGTCATTGCCTTCCTTTGGCTCCCTTAGGGTCATGCTTGGTAAATGTTCTGATGCTTTTGTAAAGCTTGGAGAAGAGGAAGCTCAGGGGAGACCAGATTGCTTTATAGAGCAACCTGAAAGAAGGTTGTAGCAAGGTGGGAGTCAGCCTTTCTTCCCAGATAAGTAGCATTAGGAGGAAAGGTAATGGCTTCAAGTGGCTCCAGGGGATGCTCGGGTTGGATATTAGGAAAAATTTCTTCTCAGAAACAGTGGTGGAGTATCAAAACAGACTGATCAGAGAAGCTGTGGAGTGACCACCCATGGAGATTTTAAAGAAAAGGCTAGATGTGGCACTGAGTGGTATCTCTTAGCAGGCATGGATTGATGGAGGGACTAGATGATCTTAGAAATGTTTTCCAACCTTTGTGATTCTATGATTTACCTAACGTCTTTTCAAGGAGTAGCTGCACGTATGCTGCTGCTCGGTGGCTGTGTGGGTGTGTCTGGCTTTTGACACACGTTCCAGTGTAAACAGATGAGACCTGGACAGCACACTAAGGGGCTGAATTAGTCTGTGTGCAGTGGGATCGCACAGGAAATCCC